TTAAAATGAACAATAGGTTTAAAACATTTAATAAATCAGATAATTGGGCCAATTATTAATAATTGAGCGACTGTGCTAAAACCACAGAATTCGGGAGTGCCTAACACCTTCTCCCTGGTTAACAGAATTCCTTACCCGATCTTCTGGTTTCGCAAACTTTAAAACAGAGCAAAATTTTCTCGATCTGGGATTTAAAATAAACCGGTGACTTGGGATACCAATAATTATTCCAAGTGGCGACTACAAATAAATAATCTCATTTCGATTAATGTCACTTAAACTGGGAAAACTCCTTATTGCCCTTCGGGAAAAGGAGGTGTGACAGCTCTAGCGACTCTACTGGGGACAAGAACCCAGAATTTTTGGTTCAGGATTCAAAATTCGAGCTTAGAATAATTGTTATAGTTGGCTTTTGTTTATTATCTGATTTTCTACGTGTTTGAGCCTAATTTGTTAAATGCTGTTTTTTATCGCTTTGATATTGTTTGAACTGTATATAAAACTGTTACGAAACCCTTCTTCTCTCTGAGTCTTCTAAATCTTCTAAATCTTCCAGGGAGTGTGCGCTTCGCGTGGCTTCTTTTCTGTTAGAGTCATCTCCTAATTTTAGAACGAGGTTCGGACAAGTTGCAAAGCCGGTGAAGCTTCTGTATTCCCGGTACGCTGCCTACCCCCCCCCCCCCCCCTCCCAAGTTGTCCGTTTGGGTAAGCCAGGTCTAGTACAGTACACCCAAGTTTTAAACTTAGAATGACATAGCCTCATGCTGGATCCCTAGTAAGTACGTTTGTTTGTATCACGTGCATTTGACTTTGGGGACTCAACACAGGGGTTGGGTTCGTCTAGGACAGGTTTACCCCAACCTAAATGACCATCCTGATGCATCTTACGTACGCATTCTTCTCAAGAAAAGAAAGCGGAGAGGGTGACTGAATTTCACTCTTTATCATTCCTTACTACTCCTCAAATCCCATCAAGTGTTGTCTTATTTCCCAAGCCACTACTCAATCCTCCTTTTCTGATTGATTGAAAGTAGCAAGGAAAGACCGTGTGAATCAGCAAGGACCATGAAAAGTAAGAAATTCCGCATATTTTGTCCAATTCAAGGTGAAAAATGGGGTTGCTCCCTCGGCCTTGCATTTCTGCCGGAGACGTCGCCAGTGCTATGGGCTTTGGCTTATGTAGATCAAAAATGATGAATGGGATTGTGGCACTCCACTCGTCGCCAATGCGGAAGCTTGCGCATTTGTTTGTTCCGGCAATAGGGAAAGAAAATAAAAAAAAAGTAAATCGAAATAAAAAAAACAAGAGTGAGAGGTAGGTATTTGAAATTCGAAACTCTGCGAATATTTGAAAAAAAAGAGAAAGAAATAAGCCAATATTTTCAAAAGCAGCCATGTTTCCTCTGTTCCGTCAAAACTGACCGAACTACGCGGGTCTGATTCTCACCGGAGGTGAGATACGTAGGCAAATCTCATCGGTTCCGGCCCCCAATTTTCAAAAAATTTAAAAAATATTTTTCTTTACTTCCTTCTTTAGAAAAATATTTCTTTAAGACCACAATTTTCAAAAAATACAAAAATATTTTTCGTTACTTCCTTCTTTAGAAAGTCTTTCTTCTAGACCCCAATTTTTAAAAAAATACAAAAATACTTTCTTTTAACTTATTCTAAAAATCTAAAAATATTTTTATTCTTCTTTCAAAAATTGAAAAGAAAATTCAAGATTAAATTATATTTTCTTTTTTCTTTAGAAGTATTTTCTTTCATAAAATTCAAAATAAAAGTACAAAAATCCAAAAACATTTTCTTTCTTGTTTAGAGGTCTTTATTTCGAAAATTTCAAAAAAATAAAACGAAAAAAATGAAAGCATTCAAAATCCAAAAAATATTTTCCTTGTTAGGAGCTTTTACGTTTTGATTTCTTAAAGAGCAAAACATGAGTTAGTTTATTTACTTTATAACGATGTTCCCGAACTACGCAAGATCTGATTCATGTTCTCACATGATACGTAGGCAACCCATATCAGGTTCGCTAAAATGATTATGGAAAAAAAAATGAAAAACAAAAATGAAAAAATGATGATAATAATAAGGACCGACTGAGTCCATTCTAACGTGTCTTTTATTTTGAATTGTGAAGAAAGTTCGAGGTGGTCGGTTTGTGGTAAGCCGGCAACACAAAATCCAAAGAAAAAAATGACAACTGACATCGAAGTTGTTCCAAGCAGTCATGAGATTCAGGGTCAGAGGGTTCAACATGAGTTACTGTGGTTGAAAAAATAGAGTACTGAAACAAAAAAGGACTGAAATGTGTCAAGCATGGGCCAACGGCCAAGGACCGCCCTTTTCTTCTCATGGTTTTCCAAAGTTCACACTCATCTCGACTACTGCCATTCCGGTCTCATTGTCTGATCAATCATATCCACTTGGGTCCAGTCCTTATCCCAACTATACGACTACAGCTGGAACTTCTGTTGCATGCTTTCAAAGTTTGCCATTGACAACCAATCAGACAACCACCACTGTTATGCTCGTCTTCACCATCCCGCAACCGCTGATGGTGCAAAGGAAAACTCATGAGTCACAATTTGCTACCCAGCAAGAGCAGTACCATTCTCCTAAGTACCACTCGTACTTGTTTGATCTTCCTGCAAACATTAAGAAGCCTGCCCGAAAGATGGCACAGGAAGAAATGACCCTAAGTGTTACATCCCGTACTTTAATATTAGGATAATTCGTAGTAACCCATATGAGCTTGAAGGGATTAAGACCCTTCATAAGATTTTAGCGGATTTGTGACTATATTATTATAAGACCCCGAAATTTTAACAACCTTTTAAAAATAAGTAAAGAAAAATAACATTTGGCTAGCATTATCCTTGTGAACGTTTAAAACATAACTAGCAAGTTTATTTGTTAGAAATACAAACTTTCTTAGTTGCACTTTTACTGAAAGTTAAATTGTCCTTCAACGCCCCATATTTCTGAAAAATTCATATTACACCTATCTTCTCGGGCATGATATTTGTAGCTACATTTTAAGAGTTCTAATGTTGGAGTTAGACATAATTTTAAGCAACATATTAGAGTACTCCTATCTGTATCCCATATTAAAAACAAAATCTATGAGACAACGAGCCTGATTCTTCAATTTGCAGCCCTGTATGTATTGAATTTATATGATACCGTTATATACATTTGATATGATATTTTGAGTGGAATATTTTTATAAAAGTTTGAAAAATATGATTTTATGTAGTTATTAATATTACTACTTTCGAATATGTTTTAAATTATACAAAAAATACGAGAAAGCTTATGAGATTTTCTTTAAAGATAGAAATTATTGTTTTGCACAAAAAAAAGGTTATCTTTTTACCATTTTAAGAATTTAGTGTACGAGAATTTACGCTCTTTATATGAGATTAGAAAAATTAGAAGTTGAGAAAATCCGTGCATTTTTTACATGGATGTTTTAATGAAATAATGGTGTATGTATTTATTTTGTATGGTATCACATGACCATGATAGTAAAGTATATTATATTATGATATATAAAGTGTGTTAAAAGTGAATAGTATTTTGAGTAATTCGAGATATTTTTTAATTATGTGGGTAATTAATTAATAGATAAAGACTAACCCTCCCATGTGGCAGACCCACATGCTAATTAAAGTGACTCACCATTTTAATTGAAAGATGGCACTTTGAGAGGATTGCTTCCGGGTTATTTGGGTCTTTCTTGTTTTTGTTTTGACGAGTTTGGTCGTGTTTATGTTGATATTAGTGAGGTATTGGCAACGGGAAGGAGCGTTCACAAGACGCTTATAGAGATTATTGTTGGCACTGTTAGCGAAGATTTGATGGTAAAATCTATATCTATATAATTTTATAATTGAGGGGCATTGGGGAGGTGATGTGGCATGCTCTAAGCACAGAATTCCCAGTTATCGTTTTTCTCAAATTCTTGGTATTTTCCCCTTTATTTTGATTTATGTGATATTTGTAAAAGCCCAAAAGACACCACTGTAAACGTTCGGTCCAGACTACAAGAATCCGAAAAGTTACGACTATTACCCAAACGAACAATTAAAGAAACATTTCAGTTACAAATCAATTTTTTTTTAATACTGAAGATACTTACTAATTTTATTACAACATTTATTGTACTTCACAATATCACAAATGAAGCTTTTCAGTTACTCAAAGGAACACGACCAACCAACTGTGATTTTTTCCACGGTATTTGGATCTATGGACTATGACGATTCATTTACCTTTTACAATTCATGTTTCTGCAATTAATTCTACCATGTTTACCGCCATGCTTTCTGTATTTTCTAACTTCATTACTGCTCCTGAAGCCTGAAGGTATTATTAACTTACTCTATTTTCTCTTGTAGAAGAACCTATAAATATGCTTAATCACGTATTACATTAATTTCCATGTTTTTGCTTTGTTGTTTCTCTATTTGAAAGTCCATTGACTTTGCATTTGTTTGTTATTCGGCGCTTGACCGTTAAATTGAACACAGCTTTTCATTCAAGAAGATTTGAGTATCTCATTAACCTTTATGGCTTAACTCAAACTGAAACAATGACGACACAATGACGACAGAAAAAGAAAAAAGATTTAATTTGAGATGAATTAAAGGAGGGGCGGTTATTTTCTCTCGGCGCATTTTTAGCAAGGATAGCTAATGTGCGCGGAAGACGGTGGCTAGCCGGAAAACGAATCGGAAACCTAATTCACAAACAACACTGACGAAGGAAATTACTGAGGATAATTCGAATCGCATGGTTACGCCTGAATCTGGAGTGATACAACATTTAGCTCCGGTTCAATTGGTACAATGGATGCCAGGTATGGGTAGTGCGCCGACAATCATGCAAGCACCGCCGCCGAAGGAAATTGAAACTACAAAAGTGACAAAGAACAATTTGAACACAGCAGCAAGGAATTGACCTATTCTACTGGATCTGGAGAAGAGAAGAGAACTATGACAGATGTGGTCAAAGGCAATAGAATAATACAACAAGGGATGCAGCTCAAATTCTATCCACCTGAGGTAAGAGATGGAATTAAAATCGTGAAGCTCAATCAACAAGAAATGGAGCAGCAATGTAAAAAATGGGAGACAACACTCATAGGGTATGTTATGGGAGGAAACCCTACCTTCAAAGAGATGCTGAAATTTGCTTATGGGGTGTGAAATTCAGTTACTACTCCTACGGTACTACTGCATGATGATGGCCACTTCATCTTTAGATTTGATTCAATTGAGGATAAGCTGCAGATTATGGAAAAGGGACCATATACCTTCAACAATAGACCAATGATTCTAAAGAATTGGGAACCTGAATTTGATATGGACAAGGAGCCTATGCGAGTGATGCCAATGTGGGTCACACTACCAGGACTACCTATCCAATGCTGGGCAGAGGAAAATTTGGGGAGAATTGCAAGTTGTTTAGGTAAACCAATATGCACTGACAAACTCACAGCAAATTGTGAGAGAGTATCATATGCTCGTGTGCTGATAGAAATGGATATAACACAGCCATTTTCTGATGAACTGCACTTAGAGCTGTCTGATGGGAAAGTGAGGGTGCAAACAGTGGAGTATGAATGGATACCAAAATTTTGCCAGGAGTGCAACCAATTTGGTCATCTAAATGGGGAATGTATACTAGAAAAATAGACAGCAAGACCAGTGCAAGTGAAGAAGGATAAAAAGCAGAGATGGGTGAGGAAAAGTAAGACAGATACAGCAGAAATGGGTGAGGAGAATGAAACAAATGTTGCTGAGAAAGGAACACAAGCAGAAGTGAATACACAGCAGGAAAATCAGGAGGTTCAAATCCAGATTGGAAACAGAGGCAAACAGGCTATGATTTACCATGGTAAATCAAATATAAAGAACCAACTAACCATTGATTATGAAGAGCTGACAAGAAGGAATAAATATACAACATTGAGGATCCAGGAAAATGAACCACCTGATCAGCAAGGAGGTAGTGCTATACAGGGGATTACCAAAGGGCCTACTCCAGATTCCCCCCCCCCCCCCCTCCAATATGATATTTAGTACATGGAATATTAGAGGACTAAACAAGACCTCTAAACAGAGGGAGTTTAAAGACTTCCTTCTAGAGAATAAAGTTGATTTAATAGGATGTTTGGAGACTAGAGTAAAACAAAGAAGAGCAAAGGATATACAGAAGAAATTTGGTGGAGATTGGAAAGTAATAGATAACTATAATGATTCTCCTAATGGTAGAATTTGGCTGTGTTGGAAAGGATCAACTGTAAATGTAGATGTCAAGCAGATAACATCACAAATGATCCACTGCCATTTAAAAGATAAAAACTCTGAATTTCAGAGTGATGTAACAATTGTGTATAGTCTTCATACTATAGCAGATATAAGAGATCTATGGAACCAGTTAAGGGATATCAGTGCAAGAACTAATGGCCCTTGGTTGATTATAGGGGACTTCAACAGTGTCCTATCAGTGGAAGATAGAATTAATGGGGCTCCTGTTCATCAGAATGAGGTGGTGGATTTCAAACAATGTATCTCAGATATTGGAGTAGGTCTGATAAACAAAAAAGGGATGCAATTTTCATGGAGTAATAAGAGAGGGGCTGAAGAAAGGATCTATAGTCATATAGATTGGGCATTTGGTAATGCAGATTGGTTTGGGGTGTATATTGAAGCAGTCTATTTGGTACCTGGATGTTCTGACCACACACCAATCATCCTGAATACAGAAGTTCAAAGAATGAAGATGAGGAAACCATATAGATTACTGAATGTAATATTACAACAGGAAGAGTATAAGACAGCAGTGAAGAATATATGGAGACAAAATATACAAGGATGCACAATGTATGCCATTTGCAGGAAGCTTAAACTACTGGAGCAACAAACAAGAGGAATACAAAGACAATATTCATCAGTGGAGGAAAAACTCAAACAGATGAAGGAGGAGCTGAAAGGAATACAACAGAAACTCAATGAAAACCTATTGAATCCACAGCTAATAGAGCAAGAAAAGGAAATATTGAGGCAAATGGAAAAATGGGATGCAGTACATGAGAAGGTATTAAGACAGAAGTCAAGGGCTATATGGATCAATCATGGGGATTCTAATACCAAATACTTCCATGCTCAATTGAAGGCTAGACAGGCAAGAAATAGAGTCACATCTATTTGTACAGAGAGAAATGAAAGGTTGACTGAACCTCTGCAGATCCAACAGGAGTTTATTCAGTTCTTCAAGAAGCTACTAGGAGAGGCAACACCAGTGATGCCTGGAATTGATGTTAACATAATCAGAGATGGCCCCTGCCAATCAATGGCACAACAACAGCAAATGATAAGGATAGTAACAGATGAGGAAATCACAAGGGTGGTACAAGAACTACCAAATGATAAAGCACCAGGAATGGATGGATATCCAGCAGAATTTTTCAAAGAAAACTGGAAGATATTGGGTGATGATGTGATACAAGCAGTAATGCAATTCTTTGAAACAGGGAAGATGCTTAAAGAGATCAATTGCACCACACTCACACTCATACCTAAGGTGACAAATCCTAACTATGTAAAAGAATTCAAACCTATTGCTTGTTGTTCTACATTGTACAAAATTATAGCAAAGCTGCTTACAAATAGACTGAAGCTGGTAGTAGACTATCTGGTGGGCCCTTCACAATCAGCATTCATAGAGGGAAGAAACATCTTAGATAATGTAATTCTAGCTCATGAAATAATCAAGGGGTACAATCAGAAAACAGTGTCACCAAGATGCACAGTCAAGGTAGATATTAGAAAGGCATATGACTCAGTGGACTGGAATTTCCTAAGGGCTCTTATGCTGGAACTTGGGATACCTGGGAAAATGGTAAAGCTTATCATGGAGTGTGTTAGTACAGTCTCATACTCCTTATTAATCAATGGAGGATTAACATCAAGATTTCAAGCAAAAAAAGGATTAAGACAAGGTGATCCAATGTCACCCTATCTCTTTGTCTTGGTGATGGAGTACCTGAATAGAGCTTTGAAGCAACTGAAAACAAATCCTTTTTAATTACCACCCCAAATGTGCAAGATTGGGAATAGTCCACATCTGTTTTGCAGATGACCTGTTAATGTGCTGTAGAGCTGACAAGGTGTCTATTGAACTTATGATGAAGCAATTTGAAAAGTTCTCCACAGCTTCAGGATTACAGGCAAATATGGAGAAGAGTTCTTTTTATGTGGCAGGAATGTCTAGTCAGCACAAGCAAGAGATACTAGAGAAGCTGCAGTTCACAAGTGGTGAAATACCATTCAAGTACCTAGGAGTTCCATTATCCTCAAAGAAACTTAACATTAGTCAATGCATGCCTTTGGTGGATAGGATTGCAGCAAGGATCAGATGCTGGACAACAAAGTTTCTATCTTACGTAGGGAGGGTCCAACTAATCAAAAGTGTGCTATTCGAAATGCAAACATACTGGGCACAAGTCTTCTTGATACCAAAAAAAGTTCATGATCTGGTAACAGGGCTATGCAGGAATTTCCTATGGCATGGAAGCAATGAAGGAAGAAAAGCTCCTATAGCATAGGACATAATCTGCAGACCAAGAACAACAGGAGGACTGAACATTGTAAACTTCTATATGTGGAATAGAGCAGCATTAGGAAAGTTGATATGGGCAATTACACAGAAGAAGGACAAATTATGGGTTAAGTGGATACATATCCACTATATAAAGAAGAAGGAGATTGACAACATGGAAACCCCCAAGCAAGCTAGCTGGGTGGTAAGGAAAATATTTGAAGCCAGAAAATGGCTAGCCACTGGAGTTCAAGAACTAAAACAGTACATTGTACATGGGAAATATACCATCAGAAAAGCTTACCATTCATTCATGCCGCAATACCCAAAGGTTAATTAGAAGACATTATACATGGCACAAGGTATGCTTCCTAGGCATCAGTTCATACTGTGGATGGCAATACAGCAGAGATTAACAACTGCAGACAGATTGATCAGATGGGGAATCCAAGTACCTGCAGAATATGCTTTGTGCATGACAAATGAAGAAGAAACTCATGATCACCTATTCTTTGATTGTTCATACTCAAAATTCATATGGAAACAGATTCTAAACCTGTTTGAAGTTGATAGACAGATAGGAAGATGGCAGGAAGAAGTCAACTGGATGACAACAAAAACAAGAAGCAGGAGTACTAAGTGGCAGATACTAGGAAATGCCTTTGCTGCAACAGTATACCACACATGGATGGAAAGGAACATACGAAGGTTTCAACAAACTAGCAGAGAAAGTAAGGAAAGAGTTAGAGAAATTGTATTACAATTGCATATTAGAGGTGCTAGCAAATGTAAATGGAGAGATGTATTAGATAGGATAGATAGATATCCATGTTAGTAAAATGTTAAGTTCCAGTTGTGGAACTAAGGAGGAAAAATAGGCTATTTTTGTAAGACCCGACTCTAAAGTCCAAAGAGCGGGTGAATGTAAATATTTTCACTTGATTAAATAAAAGTTTTTACAGTTTAACCAAAAAAAAAACAATGACGACAAATTTTTGATAAAATATTTGAATCATTAAATTTACAACTATTATTATTCTTATGATCTTCTTGGCCTTCAAGGTATCCCGTGTCCGGAGTCTGTGATAACATGAATTTAAAGCCGAGAATGATTAGTGTCGAAATAGTATGAGAATGTATTTCGAAAAAGAATAATGTTTAAGAAAATCTGGCGTAAAAATATTTTTGGTTATTTTGGATGGCAAATAGTTCCAATGTGCCGTGAAAAGGGCTCAAGTCTGGGAGAAGTTGAAAAAGCAATGGACGAAAAGGAAGGGAATGAAAGAGAAAATGAAAGGGAAACAAAGAGAAAGAGGATACAAGAAATGAGAGGGAAGAAACGAAAAAGAATTGCTGAAGAGTCGAATTGCATCCATCACGTATGACCTCATATGTTTCTCTTTTTTTTCCCTATATATATTAAAAGCAGAAAATAAGAAAATGAAATTAATTAATTACATTTTCTTCTGAGTTCTTCCAAAAATAATTGCAGCATCCTAAATTTTGAAAAACAATTTAATTTGAACATTACATTTACTCATAATGATAAGCTTTTATGATTACACAAATATTATAACATGTTTAGGATCATAATTCCAACTTTCAAAAGTCCAATACTCCACAGATATTACAAAATACATAAGGCCTCAAGTTTTAAAAATTATTATTTCTTTCTTAAACTTCATCTCGCTTCCAATTATGCCAGAATAATCTAAATAGAGTGGATAAATTAAAATAAGAAAAGTTAGATAACATACTTACTAAGTAATATTAAATCTTTGTAAAAATTAAAAAAAAAATCTCGAGATTTCTAATTATGTCTAATTACCGTCATGCGAGAATAGGGCCTTCTCTATTTATCTTTTCTACCTTGCACATGAATTGCTTATTTATTTATTTGTATCTTTTCTCTAATAGCAGAAAGAGGCAAGTCGATATGTGAGTTATAGATTGGTTCTCAAATGATTCAGAAAGTTAGAAGCTTTGCTCTTTTAACCGTTGGTGTGTATATAATATGTCATGATAGTTATTCTAATACATCAATTGTACTATGATTTATGTTGTATTCTTGAGTAAGTTGGCAATGACACTA